TCGTAGCTTCAGCGGTTTCGGAGATATTCCCGAAAAACCTGAGGGGTGGATAAAAACAACCCCCCCCCCTGCCACTAATAGGGTTAAATACACCAGTTTGGCGTCTCTCTCTCTCTCTCTCTCTCTCTCTCTCTCTCTCTCTCTCTCTCTCTCTCTCTCTCTCTCTCTCTCTCTCTCTCTCTCTCTCTCTCTCTCTCTCTCTCTCTCTCTCTCTCTCTCTCTCTCTCTCTCTCTTTCTCTCTCTCTCTCTCTCTCTCTCTCTCTCTCTCTCTCTCTCTCTCTCTCTCTCTCTCTCTCTCTCTCTCTCTCTCTCTCTCTCTCAACGACACACCACCATACCACCTTTAGTACAATCTGACGGAGACACGGTGACTGACGAAACGGAGAAAGCTATGATGTTCAACAGCCACTTTAACGCACAAACACAGCTCAACATAAACAATCTACAAAACACACAGCTCCAAGAATACATAGCCACAAACGCTGAGCCGGTACCCACTCTGCATAACATAGTTATCAGGCCAGGTGAGGTTCTTAAAATTATAAATAACATGGATGCCAACAAGTCGTGTGGATCAGACCAACTTCCCACAAAAATTATAAAACTAACACCTTTACTTACTTACGAACCTCTGACTCAGCTTTTCAATAAATCTCTCGCAGCCGGAAAATACCCATCATCCTGGAAACATGCAAAAGTACGACCAATATTTAAGCAAAAGGAACACCATCAGACGTCAATAACTATAGACCAATAAGCCTCTTGCCTTGTCTTTCAAAAATATTTGGTAAAATTGTTTTCTCTCGAATCTATCAGCACATCACCGAATCTTCGCTTCTATCTGACAGACAGAGTGGGTACCGGCCAGGACACAACACTCAGTTACAACTTATGTACTTAACAAACAGACTGTATCATTCTCTCGACAAAGGACAAGACTTAACGACAATTTACTTAGACATAAGCAGATATTTTGAAAAAATATGGCATGCAGGACTTTTAGCAAAATGCGAGAGAGAGTTTGGACTAACAGGGATCTTACTGACGTGGCTGAAATCATATCTATCAGACAGAAGACAGACTGTGACTATAAACAATTCGACTTCTTCAACGCTGACACTTGACGCCGGAGTCCCTCAGGGTTCCGTACTAGGACCTCTTCTTGCGATAATCTACTTAAATGGACTTTGCGACAAGACAAAAAACGAAATGCTTTTTTATGCAGATGACTGTTCCTTACTGTCCACTTACTCACAAAGACACAATTTAAGCGACGTACAGACAACACTGCAACACGACCTTGACGCCATTTACGATTACGGACAAAAATGGGCGATTTCATTCAATGCAACAAAAACCAAACAACAAACTTTTTCTCACCTAAAACAAACAAATGCTCCAGCTCTAACGTTTGGACCACAACCCATTCCTATCGTAAAAGACCATAAATATCTCGGCCTCACCCTATCTACAGACTTACGCTTTCATGTTCATATCAACGAAACTATCCTGAAATTTAATCGTTCTTTAGGCCCATTATATTCGATTGCTAGACACGTTCCCAAAGCCATGCTTGTTTCTATCTACACAACTTATATACGACCTTTGTTTGACTACTGTGACATAATATACGACGAACATATCACCGCTTCTGACTGCATACGACTGGAACGAACACAAAACAGAGCTGCACGACTCATAACCGGGACAACATTACGGACTTCGACTGACGGACTGCGACGGGAGTTAGGCTGGACTGCACTGACCGACAGAAGGAAGATGCACAAAATTCAGTTTTATCACAAGCTTGTGTTTGATTCTACAATACCACCATTCATCAAATCCACCATTCCCACTGCAAGACAGCACAACACACAAAGAACGCTACGCAATGCATTTACACAAACACTTCCCAAGGTACGTACTTCGGCCTACTACAGATCCTTTATTCCTTGCACCACACGAATTTGGAACACATTACCTGATCAAATGCGCACAGATCGCAGACACACATCCTTTAACAAACATTTAAAAAGAACCACCCCGCCCGCCTCTGTATTTTTTTCTGGAATCACCAACCGGTAACCTTCTCCATACAAAACTACGGCTCAACGTCTCAAAACTTAACGCCCATCTATTTTCCTTGCAAAAAAGTGATTCCCCTTCCTGCCCATGCGGACACCCCCTAGAAGACACAAGACATTTCCTGCTAATCTGTCCACTCTATAACACCCAACGAGAGAACCTATTCCAATCCTTATCTCTAATCCTCGATACCGACTTTTCTAATATCCCTCCTTCTCAGCAACTCGACACACTCATTTATGGTACTGGGCTGCGTCGGGGCACTGACAGCGAGGCCGCCACCGCACTACAGCGCTTCCTCATCCAAACTCATCACCTCTAACCTAATACATCCAAAGTCCAATCCGTACCTAGTCCAGTCATGACGGCGTGTTTGACGCGCAATATAACGCACGTACTGCCGGGGTTGCGGGGTTGCGGCTCGGCATAGGGCGGTAGGAGTCTTATTTAGTTTCATTCATTGTGTTACCATTCTTTGCAAGCGGCGCCAAAGAGTTAAGTGCGTAGCACTTTTGCGCCAATTGCTTATGTAATTTATGAATTTTATGTTGTTACAGTGTGAATAAATGCTCTCTCTCTCTCTCTCTCTCTCTCTCTCTCTCTCTCTCTCTCTCTCTCTCTCTCTCTCTCTCTCTCTCTCTCTCTCTCTCTCTCTCTCTCTCTCTCTCTCTCTCCCTCTCTCCCTCTCTCCCTCTCTCCCTGTGCTAACCTCTCTACATTTGATGAATCGCGGGAGCTGTCCTGCCGAGGCCAGGCTCTCGCCCTGTTCCGCCCTGCCACGCTGGATGTTAATCAGGCGTTATGTTCACTGTTCAGGTCACGATGGCGACTTGTTACTGTATGTATACCACTGTCCACTTCTTTGGTCTGTCCTCAGGCTCGAGGAGCGATTTTTACATGTCGAGCGTGGTATCCTGAGCGGTATTTGTGCTTGAGATCTTATTTACTAACGGGAAACATTCCTATTCATTTGACATTTGCGACATCGTCCAGTGACAGGAGTTCAGAACGGTTTGACTTAAGTCTCCCGTCTATGCAGGTCAGCTAGTCAGTCGGACCAGCCCCAAACAGCTAAATAAATACTCTGTCTAACCCGTGACCACAGCTACTGACAATGCGGTCAGCTTCTAGGAGCTCCTTGTCATTCATTCTAGATTCACTATTCAGCTACTGTCTGAATTGATATCGCAGTCAGCCGTCTCAGCTCGACCTGCGCCTCCACCCACAGGGCGGCCAGTTTCGGCGAACCTGACATGTTTGTATCGTATGGATGACGTCATACGACGGTGGGCGGCCTGTCTTTGACGCCGCGCGGCCGGAGGGGGGGGGGGCACGGCTCCGCAGTACCTGCCTCTACGGGCGGGGCGAGGGGGCTCAAGGTTGCGCCATGTGATGTCTCCCGTCTGAGTTTCACAACGGTGTGACCTCTGTTGGTCGCCGACGCAGGCGCGGCGCCAGGCACATCCGTCGGAGGTGGGGACTGGCGGGGGGAGCCGCCCCTACCAGCGGTCCATTGCCGGGCCAATGATTAGCGTCTGTCTGCCGGACGGGCGGCGCTCGGCCTTGGTGTGAGGGCCGCCGTGGTGCGCCGGTCACCGACCTTGGCCGGCGGCGCTGTCTGCGACCGGCGCCTCCCATTGACGACCGCCGCGCGCAGGTGACGTCACCGGCTCCCCCTCGGCCCGGTGTGACGTCACGGTTGCGGCTCAGCTGGCGCTCGGCGGCGCTCGGCGGCGGCGGCTCAGAACGTCGATACGGACCGGCGCCGCCAGCCGCTCCGCGCCGTCCGCCGCTCATCGTCCCTGTGTTTCTCCCAGTGTGAGCGCGTGCAGCGCAGTCACAGCAGCCCGCTCGGCTGGCCTCTCACTCATAAATGTGTGGCGGAGCACTTTCAACGGCAGAAAACGTGAGTAGGGCGCGCCCAGGAGCGCAGGTCGGCGGCCGTCCGACCGGCCCGACCCGCCCGTCTCCCCTCCGTCGGCCCCGGCCCGTCTGGGTCGCTCGAGCCCCGGGGGCCGGGAGCCAGCGGCGGCAGGCCATCCCCGTCAGTCCACCGTAGCTAGAACGGCTGGCCAGCGTCCCCTTTGTGTCTACAGTTTGCTCGTCTCCCCCGTGAATCCGCAATGGCCCGCAATCCGCAATCCGCGTCTCGTCTCCCCGAGGAACCTAACCCACGCAGGCCGACATCTTCTGCGAGTCCACAGTGCAGCCGGCACGCAGGCCCGGTTGGCAGTGGAGACTGGAACGGTTGTTTTTCACAGAGTGGTGCGCGGTGGCTGCTCGCTCCCTGCGCCCGTACCGCTACCCGGCCGAGCGGCAGTGCGGGTCGCCCGCCCCGCTGCCAGTCGGGCCGGCTGCTGTTTTCGCCAGAGGCGGCGGCAGGGAGAAATCACGGCGGTCTTTGTGCGCCGCCTGCCAACACAGCCGCAGCGTATTCCGCGCTGGCAGTGTCGGGAGCTGAGTGTATGCCGGAGTGTATGGTACTGGAGCTGGGTCGGGGGTTTAGTTTCTCTCCCGGCCACCTCCGACGGCCGGAACTGTCTAACGAGTCTATCCACGGGCGGCGGGCGGGCGAAAGTGGCCGGCCGGCCGACCTACCGACCGAGTCGGGACGGGACCACTGGCCGATATTCTCACTGACCGGACCGGGTATATGATCTACTGGACAGGAGCCGCCGCTGGGCGGGTGGGGCGTACCCGACGGGTCGGACGGCTACCCAATTTACCACTACCCGGTGGTCCCAGGGCACCGATAACCCATCTCTGTTGGGGAGGGGTTGTCGGGGCCTTTGACCTCCCGCTGTTCGGGGGCGGTGCCAGCTGACTGCGTGTGCCGCTCTTTGTGCGGCGGCTGGTCGGCGTGGCTGAGTTTCGGCCGCTGCCGCCGCCGCCGGCGGCCGTCGCTGTGAGCTGCACTGGTCGCTGGGCGGCGGGCCGGCGGGCGGCGCTCGGCAGCAGCCTTGGTCTGCACTGGCCGCCGCACCCCTCCCCCCCCCCCCCCCCGGCGGCGGGCCGGAAAGTGGGACCGGACCGTCCGTACCGCGGCGGACGACATAGCGTGTGTAGCGGCAGGAGGGCGTCAGTCAGGCCCGGGACGCCACCGGACAGACACGGCTGGCAGGCAGTGGCCGAGCGGCTGACAGACTCCGACTCGGCTGGGACGCCCGCAGTCTGAACGGTGGACCGATCCCACAGCGCCGGAGGGGTTGTCGACAGTCGGAGCGGGTGATCGCTGCTCTCTGTCATAGTCACCCATCGATACTGCGGTCCTGAGTCACCATGGGCGCCAGGTAGGCTGACTCCCGACTCCGCAGGGATACAGCTCAACTCTGGGACCCTCGGCTTGGTGCTGGCCTGGCCCTTCTAGCCTATATCGACTGCCTGTCCATCTTCGTCGTCACCCGCCACCACCCCCTCCGGTGTTTTCTAACCGCTGCTTTATCAGCTTCGGTGCGACGCGCCCGACCTGTGGTACCGACCTGTGGTAGGTCATTTTCCATGCCACTCTGTCAGTCTGATTCATATCATCAGACGCGAGCCTGGGGTGTCACGGCTGTCTTCTGAGAGCATTCCTCTGAAGTCTGACCTCAGGCAGAGTTCACACCTGCAATAACAACAGGTGCCGAATGTCTGGCTGGCTGGGGTAAACGGGTAGTTTCAGTCCTTCCAGTATTTGACCAATCGACCCGTGGGGCAGTTGGTAAATCAAGCTCAAATTACGTTGAGTCATTGCAGCAAGCTCTGCCAGCGAGCGGATGGTTTTAAAAGTAGAAATAGCAGCGCTGTATGTGCATTATGCATGCATACGCACTGCAGCAATTACTGTGTTAATTTATGGCATTGTTATTATATTTCCGTCTTGCTACATCGCGCTGATTATTTCTCAGTGATTGTTATGCGAAGGCACTGATATCCGCTTTCCTCACTATCCCATCGTCGCCGTCTGCCGTTTTCTGCGAGGTTTCGGACCATCCCCCTTGCGCCGGTGGCAGAAGCGCGGGGTGACACCCGCCCTGTCCCTGCTCTGGCCGTTCCTAGCGTACCTTCTTCATGCCTCACGACTTTGTGCGGCTGTAGAAGAACGCCTCTCCGAGCATCCTTTGTGCGTTTCAGCGCCACAAAATGGCGCCGCCGGCTGGTTTCAGTGGCCGGTAGTCGGTCGAGTTCCTGGTCGGTGCCGCACGCACGGCCACCGCTCGATGAGCTCCCACCTCCCACCGCGCACGTCGGCGGCACAGGCCGTGGCTGGACGGCAAAAGGCATCCCTGTCCGTGGGAATGCCGCTGTCAGGCTGGTTCGCACGGTCCTCGGTCGAAACTAATTTTGTTCTTTGTCTCCGGTTATTGTTGGCATTCTTAGTGGCTTTTGCTCTCCTGAAATCGCCGCCTCGCCACTGCCAAATTGTGTGTTCCGATGGGAGTGCTCGATGTGTGTATTTTGCTCTACATACTGCTCACGTATGCATCGTCAGCTCGCCGTGTAACTCTTACATGTATGTTGTCCTTTTCTTACATCTCCTAATACATAAGGTCCTGTACTACTGTGCACTGGTGCGTGTGCTGACCCCGGCTCCCCTCCGCCTGTTTCTTGCCATAGCGTTGGGACTCTACTCCTCTCTGCGCTGTGTGTCGAGTGCTGACGCGCTACCTCCCCCTTCTGTTACAGCACCAGAGCGGCCGGGGCTTCAGCCGTATGGAGCTGCTGAAGGGAAGCAGCGAGTTCTGCCGAGCCCAGCACAAATAAAGTGTCAGAGCGCGCGCCGCGCCTGTGCTGGACAGTGCGTGTCAGTGAGGCTGCTGCCGTGCCCGAGGCCGGGTCACCGCGCGGACTGGGTGCCACATGGGGTGAGGCGTGCACGGGGCCGCCGACAGCTGCGCCGCGCCGTCCGTCCGTGAGCTGTGGGCGCCCGCCGCGCCCCGAGTGGCTGTGGTGCGCGCGAGGAGCGCTGCAGGGTCCACCCCGGGCCGCCGCCGTCTGACCCGCGCCCGGCACACACTGACATGAGCAATATGAGGAACAAGAGCATCCGACCGGCGCCCTCCGAGATTGAGTACAAGGGCATGCGGTTCCTGATCACGGACCGACCCACTGAGAACACACTGGCTGCCTACGTAGAGGTGAGAACTCACCCGACTGTACTGCGGAGGCGAGAATGGTTAACTGTGAACCTATGCAGAGATCAGACACTTTTTTCGACAAAACTGGAATAGCTCGAAGGTTATTTCTATCGAAAAGCATAACTCGTAGACGCACGAGGCTCTACGCCTAACATTAGGTCCATTATCTTCCTAACTTCTCAACCATTGCTGCAAACATGGCAGAGATTTGTGTTTTGATTGAATGCAAACGTTTGTCTATTTCTGCAACATATTGGTCAAGGAGTCATGTTATTGATGGACTCAACTTGAATTGTTGAGCATCCCGAGTCGGGTGTTATTACTCCCGAGTGACAAATGGCATTACCTTCGAGCTATTCTCAGTTTTATCGAATTATGAATGCCTGCCGCGCATTGAGACGAAGTCTGTACCTGGCTCTCAGTTGAGACAGACCGGATGCCGTACTTGAGACTCTGACGTCATCCGTGCGGGACCGGGGAGTCCTTCACTATCTCCCCTATCGGGAGCTGAAGTGGTCTATTAAGTTTGTGGCTTGCGGCGCCTATCAATGTCTGGCACGTCAGGTATTTGGCGGGCAGTCATTCAGCTCAAATCGTGCCTTGGGTTGTCCGGGTCTAGCGATGTTATTCTGCTTAGCTAACTCTTCTTCGTAAAAATCATTTCGGGATATTCCGACTAGCGATGATTGCTCATTGATTCCCCTGGTTTCATTGACTTCATTGTGACTCATGATACAATGTCGTCGCTCACAATAATCCAAATTATGCAAGAATGCTGTAAGGTCGGTATTTCCTACCTGTAGTATTTCCTGAAATGCTTCGTGATTGCATGATGTGAGCCTTTTGTGCGTCATTTTTAGCGCTCATTTGCTTAGAACGCGAAACGGTCTTTTGCTTTTATTCGTGTTCTTAATAATTGCTTTTGTTCAGTTACAAACTACCCGGATTGATAAACAATGGGCTTGGTTAGCAAAGCAAACGAAACGATTTGGTTTACATGAAAATTGAAGACATTTTGCTGCTACCAAGCGGCAGTAAAGTAAAAGCCCTTTGTTGAATAGCGCGTCCATGGCTCTGTTTCGTGAATGAACACACGATCATGCTGGCTGCCACATGCTCCTTTTCGTTCATTGTATCACCTATTTTTCCATAAACCTCAACATTGTTCGAGATATAGATGAAAAAGCCATTGAGCATGAAGTGTTGGCAAAATAGACTTTCTTTGTTCAGCGTCTCTTTGTTCTGCGAACTATTAATTTGATTTCACGGGATGATCCTAGCTGTGCGATAGCGATTTCCACTGAATGGTCCGCGCTAATGCTTTTATTTTAAAAGGCGTTTCAACCATCCTTAGCTTCAGAGAGGCGTGGGCTCCGTCTTATCATCGGCAGGTAGACGGTGGCGGGCGGGATTCACTTAACGCTGTAACCTATGGTGAAAGTCTATTCAGGGCTGGCCGCTGGGAGTGTTTCACGGGCTCGTACCGTCAGTGCATACTTGTGCCTCCATTTCATGAGTTAACCGAAAGAAGAGCATACTTTTGTCCTTGCTTTCATGTGCCGTGACACAAAGTACGTCTGCCCTCAACCCGTATGCTGTCCCTTGCGTGCAGTCGAGCTCGTCTCGTCTCTTGATCGTTCTAGCCGAGTAAAACAATTCACAAAACATGAGAAAACATGGCATGAGAACTTAAGGCTCGGAGCCTTATAGCGTTCGGTGAGATCTATCATCTGTAGCTGCCACTCAGGCGACCTGTCTCACTACAGACCAAATGACACTGGCTAATCGGTCGACTCGTCATAACACCCATAGATGATGTCTCGTTTCAAATTCGACCAGGGCCCTAGACTTCCTGATCCCTGCCGTGACTCGGCACATTATCCCCAATCCTAGACACCTTAGCGATAGCAGGGTGCAACTGGTATGTCTGTTGCTGGGGGCATCTGGCGGGATGACGGACGGCGTCCTAGGCTCAGCTGTCGCGGCGAGCTCATCTGGGTCCGAGGGTCAGTGGGTCTCCGCGGCCGCCACTGTCTCAAACCAGCCTGTGTCCTGCGACTGACTGATGTCTGCTATTTCAGGAGCTGAAGAGGCACAACGCGCGCTCGGTGGTGCGCGTATGCGAGCCCACCTACAAGACGGACCTTCTGGAGCAGGAGGGTATCTCCGTCACGGATCTGGTGTACGACGACGGTACCTTCCCTCCTACTGCGGTGAGTGCGGCCGTCGGTCTCACAGAGACGGGCGGCGACTCAGTCGGTCACGCACAGCCACCTGACACTGACTGGGAGCCTCACTACCACTCTCACAGCCGCGGGCTCGGGGGACCAACAGAGGGGCTCCCTGCGCTCACTCGAGAAGCACTGCGAGCCATCAATGGCGGTCACCTGCCCACTCAGCACCGCTGACCGCTCCGGCTTTGTGGACAGATCAGTCACATTTACATTAACACTGTCTCGACACATTCAGCACCCTTCACCGCTGAGGTTCGTTCCGGGTTTAACACAACACACATCAAGAAGTAGCCGCTCAGTTCTCTTGCTGTTTTCTTACGCCCACGTTGTGTCCATCGCTGATTAGAGTCCACGGTCGTCCGACTGACCCCAGTGTGGAGTTAGACCGTGCCCTGATGTACCCGACACGTGCCGCCGTCTGCCCATGTTTCGGCACGTGCCCCAGACGAGGTCAACTCGTGCCTGACGTGCCCGGTGAGTGGAAGTGAGAGGCGCACTCTGCAGCCCGCCAGCTGCGTCATTACATCCTCTTCAACCTTTCCGGGTCGTTTTCAAAAGTAATCCACCCGTATTCCATCAAGGTAACTCGGTGAGTGTTTCTTTAGATTAGGAACTTGCAGCTAATCGTTCGGTAGAAGCTTTTCCGTCCCGATTAGAATTAGATCAAGCTCATCGCCGTGATAGGAATGCTTGTTTCGCTGAACTTGTCTAGGTATCAGGCAGGTTGATAGCACAGGATGGAAATCTCCCCCGAGGGATGGTTGTGCTACTGTGCTGAATCGTTCGCCGCTGCCGGTCCCCAGTGACTAGGTGCATGGGGTGCAGGGACTACTGGGCACAGCTACTGTCAAGAAAGTTTGTTCACCACTGTAACGGGTCGACAGGTCCGCTCTGAAGTCAATAAGTCTGGTGTAGCAAATACGACTGGTTCGCGTATGGTGGGCCATCTTTTCGGATGCATGCCACAAATGGTGCAGCTTGCTCAGAGTCGGAGGGCCCTCTTCTAGTGCCACGAGCGGCTGCCGTCTCTGCGGTCGGGCGGTCGGTGATAGTGCGCACTACACTGCCGTGTCCCCGCTGCCAAGGCCGTGTCGGCCGCGCCCCGGTCCCCCCCCCCCTCCGCTCATGGACGGGCGTCTTGACCGCGGGCGTCCTGCGGCCCGCTCCAGACGGGGCCGCCGGGTACAGCCTCCTCTCAGTCACCGTACCGTATATCAGCCCCGCCTCCACGTCGCCCCCGGCCATAAGGGGTGCGAGCGGCACCGAACGGGCGCCTGCAGCGCTCAGTTCCCCGTGAACCTTTTGCAGCCGGCACGGAGGTCAAACCTGGGCCTCGTTTCATAAAGCTCTGCCGTAACTTACACCTTTCCGTAATTCACACCCTTTCAAACTACGGAGCGCAAATGAAGCCGTTTCACAAAGCCACAACTGGAATTGTTTACACCTCCGTAACAAAGCACATTTGCGTATTTGCTGTAATTTATCAAGCGTCCTACAAATTACAATTTCATGTCAACACTTATTTTTTTCGAGAAATTATAAAACAATTAACGTTGAATTTTAATCTTAAAAATTATTTATGAAAAAAACAAATTGATATTGATGACCATCCTTTATTAAATCAATATATTGAAAACAGCAGAAAGCCAGCTAAGCAGAAGTGCCTAACTACGAAAGTGGCGCGGCGCGGCGAATAAACAAAAATCCGATAGTGGCCACAAAAAGCGACTGGTACAGAAGATTTGCAGTTTCTTTTTCTCATTTGGGCTGTTCTTTCTTCCTCACCGGGCTCAACATGATAAAATATATTAAAAATTAGCTTCGAATCTTCACATTGATTCAAATTCACGCAACATTTTTGTGCGTAGTTTACACCACTCATATCAAGAACTTGATAAAATATTTGTCGTTAATTACGTCGTTTTATGAAACCCAAATGGCATCAATTGGTCCGGAATCGAGAATTTGTCGTAAATGAAGCTCCGTAATTTCGATGGCGTGAATTACTCCGGTCTCCGGCTTTATGAAACCGAATTGGCATCAAATACGCCAAATCTGGCATAATTGACGGAACGCCGTAAGTAATTCCTTTTATGAAACGAGGCCCTGGCCGCGTGGTTGCAGAGGAGTGGCTACCCGCGCTCCGCTGCGTGCGGTATGGGACGGACGGGTGACGGGACGGGGGACTGTGCGGGACAATGACCGTGGGATGGTGTGGCGCCAATAATGTTGCCGATTGTACCCAATGCCAGGATATCGGCCCCGCGGCTGACCGCTCTGGCCGCCGCGGCACCCGCCCGCCCTGTGCCAATTGGAGCTGCCGGGGCGCTGAGTTGGCTGATTGCCGCTCCCGCCGCCACCCCCGCTGCCCCCTTGGGCGGCGACCGGGTCGGTCGGCCTGGCCTCCGGCCAAATGCCCGCAGGCACTGGTCAGGTGATCTGGATCAGACCCCCGGGATGGGCGGGGCGACTCCTGTCGGCACCGATAGAGGTCAGGACGCTTATTAGTCAGCTGACGACGCGGCAACCTTGACCGAGTGCGGGTCACCCGGGCGGGGACTGACGCCTCCGCCCGGCAGTTATAACATTCAGAGTAACGGCACGATGTGGAGACACTGAGCGGAGTTTTAGCACCCGCTAATGGCGGCGCTAAGCTCTCTGTTGTCGCCGCCGGTGGCGCGGCCGGCTCCATGTTTTGTTGGTCCGGTATGGCGGGGGCGTGTGGCACTGGCCCCCCGCCAGAGCTGCTGGCGCGCCAACTTCGCACGGCCGCCGCCTGACATGACCTTGTCATTCGCCGGGCGGGGGTGGGCTGATAACCAGACCGGTACCACCTGTGGAGCGTCCGGCGGACGGTCCACTCAAATCGACATAATCACAGCACAGGCGCACTGTCAAAGCGCCGGTGTCCTCACTCCTCAGTCGTCTGATGGCCCGGTCAATAGGTCATGAGACTAGTCCTCGAATTTCTCCGGCTGATGAGATGCAGCTTATAAATTTGTATTAGCCGTTTCCGTTGCCAACCAGCAGTCTCAGCATCGTCAGCATATGTGGACCGCTGACGACTGAGGCAGAAACGAGGGAGGCAGGGCTGCAGCTGCGCCGCTCGGGGCCGATTACGGTTCCTGGTACTGTCAGTGCCGTCTATGTGATTTGTGTCTGACGTCCATTCGGTCCTAACCTTATTGGGAGTATCCTCCGGCTTCCCAGTAGCCACCCCTGGCACCTTCGCGCTGGCCTGTGACAGTGGGACCGTCCCCGATGTGCCCCGTCTGTCTACCAACTGTTGGGGATCATTCCGTCAGACTCTGACCGTCCCCAATGCCCCCTGTCCATCCTCCAACTGTCGGTAACTGTACCAATGGGATCATCCCGACGTCCCCCGTCTGCGACCGCCCGGTCGGGGAAACCAGCCCGCCGTCCGAGCTCGGACCGGCTGCCAGTGTTCCTGGTAACTGTGTATTCACACCGGGCGGATAATCCGAACCACAAAACCGGCTAATGAATGGGCGATTGTTTGTCGGCCGGAACTTCCGCAGGGTGTGTTCGCTGGAGTCAGAAGGGAACAGAGGGCCTCGGAGGAACACAGGAAGATTGCTAATTAATTGTTCCTCTTTCCTTAACACGGCTTCTGCGGTTTAAAAATGAGTTGGTGTCCACGACTTGGAACAGCACTGATATCTCTGAACTTTCGACACACGGCCCCGTCCCATTTCCCCTTTAGGCAATCTCCCGACCTCACTTCGCCTTTTCCCCGCAGGCTGGTGTCTCGATATCCCACATTAAACCGCCCAGCCTGTTGCCTACACCACCTCTCAACGCACCACATCTTGTTTCGCAGAAGATGTTTGATTGGCCTCAATACGGACTGTTTGCCTTGTTGTCTATGGAAACTGCCGCTCGCTGCTGTCGGCTGTTTTTATATCGACGTTTCTGAGCGGAAAGGCGGATGGCTCGCTCCGCTGTGGAAAAGTGCGGAGGACAATGGCAGACGGGTCGGCAGTGTCTGCCCGGAATCGCCGCGCTGAGTCAGCGGCGCCGCCCGTTTCCTCCAGGTGTGGCCTCGATCCAACTCCGAACACAACGTGTCGCAATCGGGCGCCCCCGCCTACCGGGCAGGAAGGGACACCGCTCCGATGTTCACCCGCAATCCCGCCTACCGGGCAGGAAGGGACACCGCTCCGATGTTCGCCCGCAATCCCCGCCTACCGGGCAGGAAGGGACATCGCTCCGATGTTCACCCGCGATCCCCGCCTACCGGGCAGGAAGGGACACCGCTCCGATGTTCACCCGCGATCCCCGCCTACCGGGCAGGAAGGGACACCGCACCGACTCGGCTCAGTGATCACCCTCTGCAACTTCAGTGTCGGGAGTCGGGAGTAATTCCAGCTGCAAAATGAACATCTTTTCTGAAGGCTGCTGTACCCACTTCTGGTTTCAAGCATGAGAGCTCGTCAACTTTGACAGGCTCGCGGTCCGACTAATCGGCTCAAGGCTGAGCTCGACACCTGGCGGAACGCTGGGTTCCCACCAATCGCCCTTCACCCAGATTTGTCCGTCACTTTGCGGTAGTGTGCGTTCTGGCGAGTTCCTGTTGGGGACTCATTCCCCGAGCGAGCGTTGGTTTATGCTCTCGGCGCTAGTTTATGCTATCAGTAGCTCGGCGCTGCTCTCTGAGAAGCCCCAATTCAGTCGTTCTGTAGCTATTCCAGGACCTCCGGCCTCCACTCGTTCTATTTACGGCCGATGGCAATGTCTGATGCTCAATCGGATCAAACCGCTATTTTTGAGTCGGCTGGTATTTCAGTGACGTGGTGTGGATTCAAGTTTAATGTGGAGGATCAGCTCATGGCCCATGCTTCCGTCGGCCTGTCGGGTGTCGTACTCGTGGCACCGGCCACTTGTTGGCTGCCACATGGACGCACGAGCCACATATAGGTATAACTACCCGTGGAGCGGATCGGTAGAGAGATCACCTTCCATTGAATTGTAATCCGGTTGTTAGGGCCTGAACTGCATGAATGACAGTTTTCTTCACACGAACCTCCAGCGTAAATGTCGCACTGTGATCTGTAGTTTGTGGTCGTGATAGGGCCCGGCGAGGGAGTGACTGTCCTTCCTTTTCGTTGTCGGCGATTCCTTTATCTCTAGAGCACCTATCCCATCCCTGACCATCGTTCCACAGAGTCAGTCTCAGTTGTATCTGTTCTGTTTTCGTTGTCCTTTTTCTGCGGTGATTATCGTCTTGTATCCCTGTTGTCCCGTTCGTTCCCGTTCATTGATCCTTCTGTCTCCATATGTCCTTGTTCCGAGACCGCGCTGTCCCCGGCTGCCCGGGCTCTGTTATTGTCTGGCCCCATGTCGATCGCTGCTCTATAAGCGTCCCGGCCCTGTGATTGGGCGTCGTCTGACGGGGCTATATCTGTCCGGCGGGCTCTCCCGGTTTGCCACGGCCCCTATGATCCATACTGGTGAGGAGCGGCGCAGGCGGCACTCGTTATTCAGTCACCGAGCGCAGTAGGGCGCCGGACATAACCGGCTCGTACCAGATTCGGCGGCTGCCGACCGGCCGGGACGGAGCGGCGACTGGCCCGAACTCCCACCGCACTGTGCTCCTCTCCCATAGAAGGCGTCCGTCCTCCGCACCGTGCAGCCAGTGCGGACTGACAGCGAACGGGGAGTGACGCGGAGGAGCCGGTGACGATGGACTGCCGCCGGCAGATGCACGACTCTGTCAGCACTCGTTGAGAGCTGAGGGAGTTCGCAGCCCTCGCAGCAACAGCTCGCTGAGAGCTAGCCGAGAGAGTTTGAGCAACAGTTCGTTGAGAGATGACTGAGGAAATGAGAGCAACTCGTCGTCTAGCTTTGGCATGGGGGCGAGAGAAACTCATTGTCGACTTGGTAGAGCGTCAATTGGTGGCTGAGAGCTACTGCTCTCTGGTGAAGGCGCTGGGCGCTGGCACTTGTTGATGTATCCCCATTTGGCACTCGATCTACCAGTTGAACTCCGCTCAAACGGTGTCGGAGCCCTACAAATTGCCTGCGGCCGAGCCGCCCGGGATGGAATCACTGCCGACGGCCGGCATCGATCCGGGTCGGTGTGTTGACGCCGCGCTGCGGCGCACACCGCCGGCCGCTAACGCCTCCGGACCGGTCGAGTCGGTCCGCGCGCGCCGGGTCAGACGACGATCGACGCAGCGGCGACCTCCCTCAACGGGCGGCGGCGGCGGCGGCAGGGCAAGGCCGCCCCCGCCGCCGCCCCCGCCGCGCCGCTATTGATCCCCCTGTTCCGGCGGAGTGGGTCACCGCCATATGCCGCTCCCGGACACCCGCCCCCGCCCCCGCCCCCGCCGCGGCAGAGCGAGTGCGTAGGTTGCGGCTGGTAAGCTGCGTTGTGGAGGCCATACATCGACAGCGCGTGCGGCGCAGATTGAGCGGTGGGACTCACGTGAGAGCTACTGGCCGACTCGGGCCTTGGACTCGGCCATCGGCGTCCGGAGCGACGCAGGTCATCAACACATCTCGGGTCGATAAATGTCGCAGTTCGTATGCACGCTAAAGAGCAATATCAGTCCCTCCCGTAATGGGATTCGTCGTCCTTTAGAATGAATAATCAAGTCTTCAGAGCGGGTCTTATCAACAAGACAAGCTGAATGTGACTGATCTAAAGGCTGGAGCAGTGAGTTGACTGACTGCCTGGCGCCTCCCCTCCCCCACAGTGTCAGGGTGACGTACTGGAGCCGTGACTAACCTGTCTGGAGTATGGAGCTGTAACTGACCGCTCTCCTCTGTTCCCAGGTGGTGGACGACTGGCTGGACCTGCTCCGTAAGCGGTTCCGCGCCGACCCCACCGCCTGCGTGGCGGTCCACTGCGTGGCGGGCCTGGGCCGGGCGCCCGTGCTGGTGGCGCTGGCCCTCATGGAGCTCGGACTCAAGTACGAGGATGCCGTCGAACTCATCCGACAGTACGTATACAGGGCAGGACAGCTGAGCTGCGGGTGGGGCGGGCCTTTGATTGTCAGGAAATGTTAATTTGTCTGCTTATTTGCTTATTCCACGATATCACCAACAGGCAGTGTTAATTGAGAGGCAAATTCAAAAGTTTGGAGGGATTGGGTTAGGAGGTTGGGTAGATTGGGTCCGGCTGGGCATTGAGGAAACTACCGAAGGTGCGGTCCAATGAAGAACTCCACATCCCTAGTACAGACAATGGTCGACAGTTAAGCCTGTTTGGGACAGTTATCGGCAGTTAGCCTGGAGCGATAATAATCAGCGACTTGGTTTGGTAGCGACAGTTATTGATAGTCGGGGTGTTCAGTGACAGTTATCGAAAGGATGGGTCGGTAGCGACAGTTATCTTTGAGTGTGAATGACCATTTTCCTCCTATCATTTTTCACCTGGCATGTTCGAGTCAGTACGATTGTGAATCATCAGGCAGTGGATTGTTCTGTGCACTGAATGGAATAGGGTCAGCTTCCCATATTAGTGGGTTCGTGTCAGTGGCTTTAAACTGATTTCCTGTGGTTTCGCATGCAGCGACGTTTGCATGTGTCCGATGTCGCACGCTCGGTTTCGTGTAGGCATTCCTGGATCGCGGGCTGCCGTCCATTTCACAGAACTCTGATAAGATACGGCGAACTGAGGCCGAAGCTGTCGTCAGTCGTGCCACGTTAGCGAGGCTCGGCCGTGTGTTCCGCCCTTTGGACACCAGTTGTCCGCTCTATAGACCTCCGCCGCCCGGCAAACAGCACCAGCTGACCATTGAGCGCCCTCGCTGGCGGACGGCGCATAACGCGGCTGGACACCTGTTGTGATGGCCGCATCAGGCCGTCGCCATGGCAACGCACATCGAGCGGAGACGCCGCTCACCCGACCAACCGTCTTCCCACACCAATAGGACTGCGGCGCAGCTGCGGGCAGTCCGAGAAATAAAACACCCATGTAATGGCGATGGTGGATGTGCAGGAACGCATGTGTATGTTGTATGTTTCCGACGACAATTCACGGTGACCTGACTTATTAGACATGACTGTCCTAGCTGATGCATCTCTTAGAAGGGGTTGTTCGCTACGTGGTACCACTTACGTTTCCCAAGGCAACTATCATTTTTTCAACAACTCGGCTGCGGTTTCTGGAATTGCTTACTACAGGGTGTTTTGGGAATGTGCGTTGGTGAAATACTAACGGACATTTTCTGTGGATCGCCTGCATGACTGACACACCAGCTGCCTTATTTAGTGGCGAGGTGAGCTCTGGCTAACGTCCTCATTAAGTTTTGATGAATTCAACACTATGATAGCCAGCCCCAGCGGATTCTCGTTACCCGAGGGCGACTGCTCGGGGCCACCACCCTCGTTTGGTTGCCTCGCTTGGGCGCCTCGTCCGCCGTCTGACGAGTTGTCAGACCGCTGTGACAGTTCTGGAGGTGACGGTGCGCTGTCAGGTGACCCGGAGGTGTCAGCAGCTGTCAGGAGTGTCCCCCGTGATCCCGCCGAATGGGGGTGTGGAATGTCCCAAAATAGTGGGGATGTCGCCTCCCCAGGGTGTTGACAGTTCTCCGGATATTGAGGGCGTCGCGACACCGTGACCCGGGCTGTTCCCCGGGGGAGAGGACGAACCGAGAGACCTGATGGGTCCGTGGGCTGTGCCGGGCGGGAGGGAGAGTCGGTCTTGAGGGAGGGTCTTAGGGAGAGGGTGTAATGGGAGCCTGTTGACTTGTTAGCAGTCTGAGTGGCCTCCCAGGCAGAGATGGCTGTATATTGACTCCACTCCCAGGGTTAATACGGAGCAGAGAATATTACCGTATCGTTCAGACGCCGTGTCTCGGGGGACGGCACATCCGGGTCGGATATCTCCCCAGCGCGTCAACTTTTCTCATTAACCGGCACTGGTTTTCTGCGTCATAATGATCCGTTCAGCGGCCGCGGCCGGCGGCGGCACATCTGCGCCGTTCGCCGGGCCGTGGCGGCGCCATTGGCACGCAGGCGGCCGGCGGCTGCCAGTGGCGCGCCGCGCCGCGCCGATCGGCGCTGAGGTGTTTTTGCCAGAGGCGGGGTCAAGGACGGCGTCCGGTCGTCCTGGCGCTCAGCCGGACGCCTCACGTGGTGTGCGGCTATTCGCGGCAGGCTGGCGTTTGGCCTCTGTGCGTTTTTTGTCGACCGAGCCTCGGCTGCTGACGAGTCGCAGGCCGTGGCTCTCTGTCCCGGCCGTTCAGCTGTGTCCCGCTGTTCCGGCGTCCCACTGACTGGCTGCTCTCCGTTTCAGGAAGCGACGCGGCGCCATCAACGCCAAACAGCTGCAGTATCTGGAAAAGTACCGTCCCCGCTCTCGGCTGAAGCTGAAGAACGGCCACAAGGCCGGCTGCTGCATCCAGTAGTTGGCAGCACCGCCGCGCCGGCAGGTGGCAGCACCGCCGGGCCGCTGCCGCCGACATATCATTGAGTTGTCTCTTCTGCGCGGCGTTAGGTTCTGGAGGCGGTCCGGCTCTCGTGGCGTGATGTGCATGTGTGCTGTTTGCCGGCCACTCTTCCTGCGGCCGCCGGCAGCCCCTGGACGCCAGAAAGGTGCGCTATTGCGCGGCCCGGCGGCTCCCGCCCCGGCCTGACCCCAATGTACCGAGCTGGCGGCTCGCGCCCGGCCAATGAACTGTTCGGAGCATGCCTGCGCCCGACGGGGGCGCTGCCTGCTGGCCGCCCCGCGAACTATAATTGTCGGCCGCGCCCGCCGAGCGCGGTCGTCCGTTTCTCCTAGGTTTGTTTTTGTTATATGCGCTCGTGGGGGGCCGTCGGCGGGCGCGGTGGCCGCGGCTCCGAGCGGGTCGCGCCCAGCTCGGTTTTACTAATCTGTGACCACATAGTCGGAGTGCGAGTCGCCTGGAACGTGCGTGTTTCTACTGTAGACAAATGACAAATAAATCTGTGTATTCGGCCCATGGTCTCTGAGGGACTGCGACGCGGCCATCTGGAGATAAAAGCTTATTTGTCCAAAATATGATGCCTATACGCTGATATTATAATGACGGGAATAGTTCGCGGGAAGAAATAAGTCATTGAAACTCGCGTATCTGTATTTTATACGTCACAGAATCTGAACAAAGTCCGAGGTCAGGACAGCCACAACTCGCATCCCTTCACCCTAGAACCTTACTGATGGTGAGAGTTTACTTAAACCGCTACTTTTGCGCTAGGAAATGACGAACGCTTTTTATCTGACGATTTGGATTACCAGTTACAGAGAAACTAGAGGGTGCCATCATTGCTCTGAGGCTATTTTGGACGGAAGTAAAGGCAGCCGTAGGTGTGCTCTCTCTGTCTTCTCTCTCCCTCCCTCTCTCTCTCTCTCTCTCTCTCTCTCTCTCTCTCTCTCTCTCTCTCTCTCTCTCTCTCTCTCTCTCTCTCTCTCTCTGTCTCTCTCTCTCTCTCTGTCTCTCTCTCTTTCTTTCTCTCCCTGCCCCTCTCTCTTTCTCCCCATCAATTTCTCTCAGTAGCCGGCCAGTGAAGACATCACGCTTCGCCAAGCTATGTTATAGGACGATAAACATCTCAATTCCGGCCGTGTGCTGCAAGAGCTGGTGAACTGACAAAAGTCGGGGCAGCATGAAAATATACTGCAAAGAAGCGCAGAAAACTTTTTAAAAGTTTCCTGTTGTAGAAAACACAAAACAAGACGGTCACCTGGTCAGAGCAGGATAAGGATGGTCACCTGGTCGGACCAGAATAAGGACGGTCATCAAGTCAGCGGTCAAGATAAGGGCGCCGCCACCTGGTCAGGCCAGGATAAGGACAGTCAGCTGGTTTGAGTCGTTAGACAAGACCTCGACTTCAGAGGTCCGATCTCCGATCTATTGATTTGTGAGAAGCCTAATCTGTCATCGAACCTTGTGTTGCAGATGTGTAAATGACTCGACATCATGCCGCCGTTAGGGGGCTTAGGACATTTTTTTTCATAAAACGTCGATTTGATAGGCCAATAGAGTTGGCTTGTGCTCTATCCCCAAACGTCTCCAACAAAAGATATTGGTATGCTTAGGCCGAATGGCATCCCTTGGCTACTGCTGGGTATGGAAATTTAGCATGGTTGACTAGCAGTTGAATTGGTACAATAGAAATTGAATTGGTACAAGGCCCTACACGCCGGGCAACAGTAGGTAACACTTATTTTACCCGCGCCCCACTGGGGGGGGGGGGCTATTCATAGCCCCCTTCCGTTTTTCTGCAATAACTTCTAAACCGCTTGACGCATCGACGCCAAACTTTCAATACTTTCGGCTGCATCAATTTGACACCTTGTGTCAAAATATGAACTTCGTAGCTACCATAGGTCGGCCGGAAATGACGTCAGAGTGACATCATGTTCGGCCGATTTCGACGCAAAACATTGAACCACGGCAATCGCTCCCAAGAGCTCCGTTTTTAAGCTAGATCCAATGTCTTTGCATGAGAGGACTTAGAATAGACTGCACTATCAAACTGTTATCTCGGATTTTCAAAATTGTGAAAATTTTGAAAAAATATAAATTAAAATTCAAAAGTTATATTTTTATCTGTTTTTCAAAAAGTTTTTGACTTTTCGAGAAAAGAACGGAACATGTGATAGAACATATGCTTATGACGCAGGTACCTACTCTAGCCCGCGAGTTGCTGGGGGGGGGGGGGCGTCAAACGCCCCCACTTTTTTCGCCGGGCCATAGCAAAAAAACGGCGCGCCGCAGGCGCGCCAAATTTTGTGTACCTGTAGGGAATTGATTGAAGTTTATTGTGACAAAGTTTCAAAAAAAAAATCCGTTGGAAAATTTTTGAGATATCGAGGTTTTAGTGACGTCATGATTTCTGAGTTTTCGACCAAAAACGGCATATGTTCAAAAAATCATATAAAATCACAGAATAGACATACAGACATGCCGTAAACGCCATTAGACTGCCAATACCAAGAACATTCAAATGGCTATCTTCGATTATTGATTATCGTTCCGCATTTTCCAAAATCTTGAACTGAATCTAGGCAATTTCTCGTGACTAGGGGAAGGAGGGTGAATTGCGCCACCTTAAGGAAAAACGCTAATTGTAAGAAAACCGCTGGAGATATAAGCATGCACTGGTAACCATTTCAAAGAGGAACTCATTGGCTACGATTTAAGAGCCTCCCGATCAATTAAGAATGTTTCGTTTGCTTCTGACAGCTGCTTTTTCAGAAACATGCAAAAGGGCGCATTTGCCAACAACTGCTGTAAATTGCGCCAGGGGGATGGCGCAATTAGAACCCAATTGCGCCCTATACTTTAACATGGCTAAGCGAATGAGACGGAATGCATACACCCCGGCAGTCTAATGTCATTGCGGCTTACTTTAACATTCATAATGTTATTCACGCTGGTTAAATAATAAATGTAGGTGTAAATCGCGATGTTTTTATTTGCCCAGGTAGAAAACTTTACATGTGTCTGTACGCTTGTAAAAGTGTAACGAAAACGTTTACTGTAACCGACTAGATATATGTGAACGTATGCGCCTATACGGTTACATTTTCAATCGTTTCTCTCAAAATTAGTAATTTTTATCGTTTCGACAGCTTTATGACATCAATTTTTACTTTTTTATCATAGCTGTCACCTCTCACGCATGAGTCCATGTTGAAAATGTCGTATTTTGTCAATTACACCACAAGTTCGTAGCCTAAATGGCGGCTACATTATAAGTTTGACGAGAGAAATAATTTGCGGACTGACGACAGCGGTTTGCTCCCCTGCCTGACATTAAACTCCTTCTTTATTGCAATCAGTTAATGATGCATTCATACTGTCGTGATACAATAGCTACACCATTATTCTATTTGCGCCCCCCTGGCGCAATTGCCATGGGCGCAATTAGAATTGAGGTACTTTTGAATAAAAGCGTAGAAGTTATCATTAAGATGTTGAAGGAAGTTTACTGTTTCAGTGAAATATAATGAAAAATGGTTTTTCTATCTAAATATCACTCTGAAAATCACACAAATATCACAAATTTTTATAGCCAACGGTTCAAAGTACTGCAAAAAAGCTAAGAAAACGCCGTAACATCTTTGATGGCGTTATGAGCCTTGCTGATTGGCTTCATCGGGGAGCTTGGGCCATAAAAGGAACTATCCAGTGGGGAAAATAATGTTTTCGAACACAAAATTCAAAACATGCCATTGAATCCGTGGGAATGTGGGTGGGCGCAATTGGTTAGGAGGGCGCAATACACCCACTTTCCCCTACTTTACGACCATGATACATGCATTTCTTAAATTGAACTTTTTAAGCCAAACACGTACACATATAATAAAATGAATGTCACCATCGTGTTCTACGCCCCAAATTACCCATAAATCATGTGTCACAGGCTGCGAATATCAGTTTTGATGTTCGGGGATATGTGCCTACCCGGTTGACCTGACCTTGACCCTGACCTATGCTTGACTGACCCCTACATGGAGCTGACACTCTTGTAGGCCTTATATGATGGATTGTGCACCGTTTTGACAGAGTTTATGACGAGAGGCGCCCATTGCGAAGTTCTGAAGTCCATGCTACTGAAAGCCCGATTTCAGGTGTTTGACCTGACCTTGACCCGACCTGTGACCTCAAAATTCAACTTTAAAGTACTCATCTGAAGCGTCTCGTCGCGTTCTTTCGTTTGCCGCCTCGTGCGTTTCGCTGAGCCTATTGGTTCTCGAGTTATCGGCTGGGGGCGTTTAACGCCCCCCCCCCCCCCCCAGCAAACGGTGGGTGGCGAAATACCCCAGCAACTGCCGGGCTAGCAAGTTTTAGCCAGCTATCTTAACCCTCGCCCTGGCAGGGCATTTTTCATAACACGGCCTGGCAGGGGGGGGGGGGTCGATGCGACCCCCCCCCCCCTCGCGATTGGCTCCTATGGCACCTAGAAACACCAAATTTGGTAGGTAGGTGGGCCCCCTGGAGTTCTCGCCCCTGTGCAAATTTGGTTGCTCTAGGTCAATATTTAGGGGGGTTTTGGGGGGTATAAATGTAAAAATTTCGCTAAAAACAGGTCAAAAGTTTTTCGCTTATAATTTTTGATCTAATTAAGATAGAGCAAAAAGAAAAGCACCAGTGAACTCAGCACGTCAAGGCGCGTCGAATGATATACTTTTTACCTTGCTTAAGTGTACTTAAAGTTTTCCTTAAATTTTAAGTAAACTTAAACTAATAAATTAAGTTAAAGTTAACCAAATTGCATCATATCGCATATCATTCGATTCGGCTGATCACCAGGAACACAATGATACCATTTTTTAAGCTCTAGCGTCATTATGTGCCAAGCTATTGGCAAAAACGTCATTTGACCTCAGTTGACCTCATTTGACCTGACCCATGGATAAGTACACCAAACAAAGAAGCACCAAGTGACCTGCTGTTAAGTACTGTGGTTTTAAAAGCACAAAAGTGATAGAACGAAGCGGATATCTCCAGTATTTTCCGAATTTAGTATTTTCCCATAGGCTTAACATTACGACGTAATGACCTCTAACTGACCTCAGGTCAGTGACCTCAAAAAACCCGAACTATATGTTATACAACGCGGTGACCTTAGCACATCCTGAAAGTTTGAAGGAAATCAGTGCAAAACTGTGAGTTGGACAGGTGCAAAAAGAAAATTGAAATTTGACCATGACCTTGTACCGGTTTTTCTGACCTGGTGACCTGACCCAAGGTCACCCGGACCTGAAATTTTCAGGTCATATGTAAAAAGGTTGCCCCATAGGCTGTGCCAAATTTGGCGGCGCTGCGCGCCGCCGTTTTTACGCTATCTTCGAAAAACCTTAGGGGGGGTCGCATCGACCCCCCCCTGCCAGGGCGAGGGTTAAAAGATGGCCAAGTTGACGCATCATAGCATAAATTTCACGACTATAAATTTTTTAAATCAATTTTTCAGTACGTAGGTAGGTATTTGACATCGTACACCAATATCAATAGCACCATCGTGTTCCTGTGCTCAAATTGCATTCGATAGACACATTTTTGTTAACATTTTCAAATTTAAAATATGACCTTTTTTACCTGAAATTGGCCTGACCTAAGCTAAATTCAACTCACAATGACCTCGAATGACATAAGCGACATCGAATTCGAAATCTATGTCCTAAATAGACCATAAAACATGTGTCACGTGACCGATGCATGACATAAAATTTCCGTGACCTGTGATGACCTGACCCTGACCTGAAAATCAAATTACAAGTTTGGTACCCTCAGGGTATCTAAAGCATCTGTTCACGAGTGTGTAAACCACAAATGAGCCCGATCCGACTTGTAAGACGGCGGCCAGAGCCCAAAATGTGAGATTATTTTTACTTCGACCTGAACTGTGACATCATCGGTGACCTTGAGGTCAATGAAATTAGGTTTCCTGCGACAGCTTTTTCCGGGACTATCAGATGCCGTTTGAATTTTGACGATCGGCCCAGTAGTTTCGGAGTTAGGAGGGGGGCTATGAATATCCCCCCCCCCCCCGTAGGGCGCGTTATAGGTACCCAGACCCCAGTGGGGGCGCGGGTTAAATATATTGGAAGTGATTTCCAAAACACGTTAAAACCTTAAAATCAATCAGCTTAGAATTTAGATGACAGGCTACGGCTACGCAGATCGTCTTCCTTTGCGTGTAAGTGCATAGTGCACTAAGCAGAAACTATCGGATAGCTGATGTCTCCGAGCCCCCTGAAGCTAATTAATTCGTATTGCGATTACGTCCGGACTATTTTCTTGGGACGCTTTCACATTCACTTCGTCTGACGGTCCCTTCTATAACTTGTTCCGTGAATGTGTTACTTCTGTCTTCCATGGCAGCGCGCATCGCAAATTAGACAATGACACAGCCGAGAGTTATGAATCATAAACCTTGCAGACCAGCAATATGCTGGATATGCTGTCGCTGAGCTGCGTTTTCCCTTGCGTTGAAGAGAAGCTTCATCAAAGCTTGATGGGTCCCCATTTCGCTGGGAATGACCGCCTGTTCGTCTGACTGCCGGCGCACATTTTCTCCGAACGACCGGTGCATCTTTTGGTGGGCCATCACCTGCAGCTGCTGTCGGGGGCCGCGGCGATGAATCAGCTCGGCGGCGGCGCGCACTGGCGGGGGGGGGGGGGGGGTGCCGATATGTCCTCAGTGACCGGCCCCAGAGGTGACGATGACAACTCACCAAACTACTAAATACGCCCGAATGGCGAATACCTTTACCGAGTCCCCCTCCCCTCCCGAGCTGTGATCAAGAAAGAAGCTTACCTACCTATGCTTACAATTGTTTTGCGTTTATGTCTTGATTCGAGCATAAACGCAATTACTGTTTACGGAGCGAGCGAAGCGAGCGGAGTCTCATACTGAATTAAGGGAAAATCCTGAGTATGAGCGGCCGGCCGGCCGGCCGTGGGGACGCTCTTCAAAAGCTAATATCTTAGGAACGGGACATCCGATTGACAAGCGGTCTTCTTTACTGAATGTCACTTGGACGTAAAAGTTCTGTGGTGTGATGGCCACCATGCGTTCTTGCCAACCACCGCACGTGGCGCGTGGTAAAGTTGGACATTTTTTAAGAACCCCCAAAATTGCAACCTGAATAACGGCACAACGGTCGGGCCGATTGAATTGAAACTCGGTACACAGTTAGGTCTCCATCAGATAATTCATCTGCATGTGTTAAGGTTGGGGTGCTACAGCACGTGCGCACGTGCAGGGGGCGCTCCCAGATCTCGAGAACGGCTGGGCCGATTGCGCTCAAATTTGGTACACGGTTGGGGACCAGTTAGTAAGGTGCCGTGCAAAAGTCAGTTTGGACCCCGCTTGCACGTGCGCACGTGCAGTGTGCCGCTTCCAGATCTCGAGAACGGCTAGGCCGGTTGCGCTGAAATTTGGCACATCGCTAAAGACCGGTTAGTAGGGTGCAGTGCACAAGTTAGTTGGAGGTACCCCCTCGCAATTTCGCACGTGCAAGGCCCATCCTCTCGCTCGCTCCGTTGGTCGCCCAAAAGGCGTTTTACTGGTTCATAAATTTGGTTTTGGTAGTATACGGCTCAGCCATCGCTCTGAGCCTGAAATCCTTCTCTACCATTACTTAGAGCTAACATACGACGAGGAGCGGAGCGCTGTACACAGCGCTGTAAGTCTAGTGCTGCCAAGGTGGTCTAATTTATTTATGCCCGTGCTCCTCCGCTGTTTGTGCGCGCCTCTCCAGCAAACTATTCTCGTCTAATGGATGATTCGTTTTAGAAAGAACAGCGTATAGCTGTCTAACGACGCATGTAAGCGCGTAGTCGTGCAGTGTGAGCTCTGCTTCTGTGACTTACCTATACCTAACTGTAAAAAATTAGTGATCTTCCATCTGCTGAACTCATTAGCCAATCGAAGACAGTTAATTGTCCTCTGCCCATGCGTTTAATTAACACTGTAAAGCGCCAAAAGCAAGCAATTAAGATGCAAACTTTCGATTGAATTATCACCAGGCTGAACAATTTCATTCGAGCTACAAATGTTGAGATGACGACCTCGCGGAATCGCCATGGGTGAGCTTTGCTTTTATTGGGACGTGAGCAATTTGTCTTCTGAGAAAACAAAGCTGAAATTTGCATGTCATCCTCTGCAATATCTACGCTCCAAAACTCCTACATCACTGGTAAAGTATTAGCCACTTCCGCTTTCGACAGATTACGGGGAACATGTGATATAACAATTGGAGCATCCCGATTTGATCATCAAATGTGCGCCGTCTAGCTGCGTCTAGCCCTAGTGTGTATGTGGTACTCAGGTGGTTCATCCTTATCGCTAACTAAGTGCAGTTTTTTTTAGCGTCTGCGGGCCAGTGAGGACACATGTAGATTGTAGATATATAGGAGACCAGGCAACTGTGCAACATATTATTCGATTTTGCGGCTCGCAGTATCGTATTATAATATAGCATGTTATTATTATACAGGGTGATCATTGTTATTATTATACAGGGATGATATTGTATACAGGGTGATCCAAAAATTTGGAACCCCTAACTTAAAATGTCTATAAGTTCGAAAGTATTCACTTTATTGACAAATTGCGAACACCATTAGAAAGAGCATTAAATCATCTAAAAAACCACGTCAAATTGGTGTATAGCCCTTTCCCGACGGAACATTGTATGTACAGTGGACACTGGACAGGTCACTTATTTGATCCGTTTGATCCGTTTGGTCTGATAAATAACAGAAATTGTTTATTACATAGAGGGATTTTCACCTTTCAAATAAATTGTCTATTGTTTTTCTCCTCTGCTTTCAAAATCAATCAAATAGGCACCCGATGTTCTATCGTGAAATAGGCTACCTGAACTAAATGGGTAGGCATCGACAAAATGAAATGTAACGTCTTAAACGGTAGACGTGTTATGCCTAATATTGGGATGGTATTCAGGTAGTCGTAGGAATTAAGTAGGATTATTTAGGTGTTCATTACCTAGCATGATAATATTACCGCGAGTGCAGCACCTATCTACTGTATCCAGTGGCGGTGCGCGGTATGCGTCTGTCCGGCGCGCGCAGGGGTCGGTTGCCGGGCGGAGCGGGCGGCCGGCGGCGCGGGGTCGTCCAGTGGCGGCGGTGACGGCAGTGGGTCAGTGTGCTCGGGTGGCCCTCCCTCGCCGAGGATGGTCCGCACCGTCGTGGCTCTGCTGCTACTGGCCGTCATCAGCCCTGCACTGCCCCAGAGGTGGGTGCCGGTTCCGATCGCGGCGACAACGTGCCCCTCGACCGGTCGTGAACACGACCTCCGGAATATCATATTGAACGGGACGATAAAAATGCGTGAATCTTCACAATGCACGGTTTATGCGCCAGTTAAAACAACAATGGTGTTCATGGAACGTGTTCGTGCCTGCATGCGCTTACCGCACATAACTACATGAAGTTCGACGAACGCATACAACGCCGGGTGATGCGACCCGCTTGACTCTCGAGTACCTTGATTGCGGTGTTTTATAAGGGCGGCAGACTGGACTGGTTACCAGGTATAATATTTCTCGGTGCGTGTGGTGAGGAGAATTCCAATTGTCTATGAGACCATACATACACAAAGGTTGATTTGACCACATAATGTCGATGACTGGTAAAGAGGCCGTAGCAAAACATATAGCCTGCAGTCCTAAAACCACACCTATGCAGGTCTGCTCGGCAGTGACGCGTCCCGTCCTGTGCAGTCGGGTATACGGGGGCAGAGGTGGCCGATCTCCCGGGGAGCGGCATTACTGGGGTACTGGCCGCCGGGCCGAACCCCGGGGGGCGCGCACCGGTCTCTGAGGCTCGGCGGTATCGGCCCGGCCAAATTACATACACACTGCAGGCGTCAATACGACCACGGCACGCGACGCACCTCAGACGGGCAGCGCAAGGAGGTCCGGGGTGGCTGCTACTTTCTAGACGCCGGTCAGAGCTCACAGTGCTTTTTGTTTTCTTGCTTTACAATATGGTGACAGAGAAAACAACTGATATCAGTCATCTAGCGAGTTCTAGAAAATTTATAAACAAAATGGAAAAGTTTTAAATCAAATAGTTATTTTTATTAGTTCGGTACCGGAAGTTACAAAAATAATCAGCGCAAAAATATTGGTGATAAAATGAGTTCAGTTATTATATGGGCGAGGATGGATGACATGATTATTATTAATACCTACTAGATGGCCATGTTGGCGCGATAACTGTACGTTTTGATAGATGCGTTTGAGGGGGCATTAGTTTGGGTGTGGGAACTTATGATTTTTATTTGTCTTATTTTGTCGGAGTTGGATATTTGTTTGAACGGCATGGTATGCTGTTGCTGGTTGCGGGTTGTTAGAGCCTTTCTCATGGTTTGCCTTTATCGAACTCAAACCCCCCTACCCTACCCTAACCTACCCATACCCTACCCTACTCATAACCTACACATAGTTACCCTTCTCATGCTCGATTAAAGTAACGTACCAAATTTGAGCGCAATCGGCCTAAGCCGTTCTTGAGATATAAAACTGGCCCACTGCACGTGCGCACGCGCTAACTGAGACTCCAGATGGCTTGTGCCAGCCACCTTTCTAAATTGTCCCCAACAGTGAACAAAATTTGAGCGAAATCGGCCCAGCCGTTCTTGAGATGTATAAGCGGACCCCTCACGTGCGCACGTGCATTCGATCCACCCTACCTGTCACAAATGATCATGCATCGCCAGGTTAGTGCCCCCTCCACCCACAGTCCAAGTTTCAGCGCAATCGGCCCAGTAGTAGCTGAGTTATTCCTAGTACAATAAGGTGCTGTTTACTGGTACACTGAAAAAAACTTACTCCCCATTTTCTAATTTTAGAATGTCAAAAAGCACTCCTGCAATCGAATAATTTTATGGCCTGGCATAAGCGCCTAAAATGGGGAGTTTTGGGGAATAAAACTAGCATATAGAATATATTTAGTATCCGAACGCTTATATTATTCGTGCTAGGGAGTAATTTTATGACGGAGGATAAAAGTATGCTATCTTTGGATAAAATTACACCAGATGATAATTTTATTAACTTAATACTAAAATTACTCCCATTCGGGGAATAATATTGCCATGCCAAAAAGCACTCCTTTTTTCGATAATTTTACCCCGGAGTAACTCCCCGGTAAAATCAAGCCCCAGTGTAAAAGTACCACCTCTGATAATGCGGGGTGATGTGATAATATTATGACCAAGTGTAAAATAAGGAATGCATTTAAACAATGTATTGAAACACCAACAATTGATTAACGAATGGTACCTGAGCATCAGCAGGTACATCTTAATTTGGACGCACTTCCAGTGATGGCGCATTGCGGCCGACAGGGACGTAATTTTGCTTCCTAGTTGAGAAGCGGCGTCTCAACTGGGAGGCAAAACTTCGTCTCTGCCGGCCGCAATGCGAAATCACTGGAAGGACGTTCAAGGTCACAACTCACAAGGGCGTTATGGTTAACACTGAGGCTAACGAATAACATCTGCGCACAGAACCACCGCCACGGATGGCAGATAAAACGAGCGTGTATGGTTAACACTGAGGCTAACGAATAACATCTGCGCACAGAACCACCGCCACGGATGGCAGATAAAACGAGCGTGTATGATTAACACTGAGGCTAACGAATGACATCTGCGCACAGAACCACCGCCACGGATGGCAGATAAAACGAGCGTGTATGGTTAACACTGAGGCTAACGAATAACATCTGCGCACAGAACCACCGCCACGGATGGCATATAAAACGAGCGTGATCTGGGCTATGAAAGACGTACTGAGACTCATTGGCGTACTGAGACCGCCGCAGCTGAATTAGTCATAATACAGAGGCTCCAGTAGTGTGAGCCACACGTTGCGAGTCACTTGAGCCACAGGTGAGCCACAAGTCACGAGTCACTTGAACCACAGGTGAGCCACAGGTCGCCAGTCATTCGAAGTGGGCATCTCCGATGCTGGTTCTACACTACCTGGGTAACCTCCCACACCTTCTGTGATAAGCCAGATAGGTTTACATCGAATCCCACACTCCGGTAAAGAATCTCGAACAGGGCCCTGCAGGGCCCCGTGAACTTTGTGTAGAAGACAGCGTGGGCGGCCGTCATTAGGGCCACGGTCTCCAGCCTGGTGGCCGGCAGTTGGCAGACCACCACACCGTCCACCGATAGTTCCTCACCTGCCTGACGAACCCCGTTTCTCGGATCCGCCAAGGTGCCAATGGTTGTTCCACAACCATTGGCAAGTAGAGCTAGCAGCTCGTCGTCTGCCGTGAAAAAGAATATTGCAGTCAGTTGGCATCAATGCATATCGTACAAATAAACGTAAAGGAAACCTAACTAGGAGAGAAACAAGGAACCGCGTTCGTACAGTAGCTGGCTATGCCATCTACAGTATCTGGAGACGATTCTTCGCTTCTTCCTGATTTCTTTTCACTCTCAAAATCGTAGTACGATGCGTAGTACGTTTGCGTAGTACGATACACTCTTACAACTAAACGTGTTGCATAATTACAAAATAATTATACGTCGTTAAAATATTTCAGTGAAATAAGAAATTAGTACCCGATGTTCCGCTGTCATGGTTAAGTATGGAGTGCAAGCATGGGCGTCGCCACCACTACGGACACTACGGACAGTGTCCGTACAAGTTTTGGAAGGCCCGAAAACTTGTACGGAATGTCCGTACAAGTTTCGACGACTGCAAAACAGTCTTTGCACATGTTTTGAAGTAGCTTAACGCTCATCAGTCCCCTATTTGTGGGTAAAGTTACGATCCAAGGCAGCCCCAAAGTCAATGTCACGCAAGAGTATTTACTACTAGCATTTAGGGTGTAACGAAATTATTCGGACATATATTTGTTAGTCATATCTGTTCGCACAGTTTCTTTTCTGATGTTAGAAGCGGGAATACTGGCTATATAAGTGCCTCCGGTATCGGCTCTCAACTCAGCAAAGACCTACCTTTGCCAGATGACTCTTGCTTTGAGTAATTAGTCGAGTCACCGACGGGTTCATTTGATAACTAGTTTTCGTCAAAGGCAATGGACAGAAAGGAGCACACTCTCCTTTTGTATTAGGAAGCATGTTTGTGGCATTGCGGCAATGAGCCTGAAGCTGGTCTGCCAGCAGCTCCATGGGCATCAGCAGCAGCCAACTGCACATCTGCCTGAGGCGTAATAAGCTGGGACTTGATTGGTAAACTCAGCCCGGCTGCGACCGCAAAAGCCACCCTTTGCCAACGCAGATGGACTTGAATTCAAGACCGATGATAAGAGGGCCCACATCATGACCCACCGCTATCCGCCCCTTACCTTGGTTCTTCTTCTCATCAAACTGAAAAAGACAACGAAATTGATGGGAAAATAGCCGGTGCACCACCTTTAGCCTCACGCCAAGACGCATCCACTGGTCGAAGGAACACATAAGCAAGGCATGGTGTGGTGAAATGGGCAGCTATTCGCGCTGTATTGTCCTTTGAACCGTCAAAGCGGCCTTGTGTTGGCTGCCAGTAACTCAAACGTCCCAGCCGTCACCGGCGTTAAACATGCGGCCGAGATCCAGATCTGGAGCATATTCAGCTGCTGTGCGATGTTCCAGCTGTGCAAAGTGCATTGACCAACCCATTGACAGAAGAGTCCACCATCAGTGACATGGTGTGTCAGAAGTGGAAATAGCCGCATGGCTTTAGTTCTCCAGCCTTGCCCAATCGATGGCAGTACCACAATATGGGCAGCGGATCGTGCATTTGACGTCAAATTTTCGTTACCTGCTAAGAATTGAATGACGGATCTTGTCATGCAAGAATCAAGTAAATCGGTCAACAACTTTTCTAGCAACAGGGGTATGAAGTCAAACACCCTGCCAGAGCGGCGGCGCGGCGGCCGCCGCCGGCCGTTACGCGCCGACTGGGAGACTGCCGGCGCGGAACGGTTCCGACTTGGCACAGCACTAAAGCCTGTTAACTGCTTGGAAGTTGGAATAGTTATTATAGCAAAATTTTCATTCAAGTGAGGAATAATCCAAGGGCAGGAAGCATGCATGTTTGTGTGCATACCGTGTAAGCCAAGAAACTGCATTAGCAGATACTCGCTAATATTAGATCCAGCCAAGTCCAAACGCATTCCAGGGGATGTGTTTTTGATGGGTCAACAAGACGAGGGCGGATACATTTTTAACAATACAAAAAATATTTTTGCACAGCTCTATTCCTTGAA